ATGTTGTCACAAATGGCTGGATTTCGTCGTTTCTTATGGCTGAGTAGTATTCCATTGTGTATATATACCACAGCTTCTTTATCCATTCGTCCCTTGGTTCTCAATATATTTTGAGCCACTGTGGGTCAAAACATACTTAGAACCATCCTTCTGGATTGAAATTGATTTCTGAGCCCAGGGTGTGTTCTTTTGAGTATCTCAATAGTGCCAAGTATTTCTTCTTTGAGAACAGGTTAATTTTTTAAAAAACTGACAAAGTAATTTGATAACAAGTCTAGTGAATAAGATAGTGGTATTGGTTTAGCAAAAAAAGCCTAGCAGTGAAATAATAAGACTGGTGTTCTTGCCTTGCTCAGAAACTGCCTTGGAGATGAGCCCAGAGTCCCCAGTGTTTTGGATACTGCAGTAGCATCACTGGCAGCTGCAGCACCATGAGGGCAGGGCCTGTGACCATTTTGCCAATTACTGTCCCCCAGCACCTACCATAGTGACTGGTGCATAGTGGGTGCTCAATAAACATTAGTTGAATGAATGAATAAATGCGTAAATTCACATGGTACTAATTCAAAGTACCTGACACTTCTTGAATGCATATATTTGAAATAGTTGTTTTTAAAAGAAAGTAATTTCCATAATTTGCAAATACAACAATAATCTGTTAGTTTATAGGAAATGCTCCAAGCTACTCAATTTTACTTTTTTTTGACATAATACCGTCTTCTGGATATAGTCCATTTTGCAAAATAAAGTAACTTTCACAGTGATTATGTTGGACAGATAGGGAAGACAACATCACTCCCATTTTGTAGATTAGAACACTGGGATGCTGAACAGTTAAGTAGTTTGTCCAATAATAGTGTTATTCATTAGAGTATTTTTGGCCACTAATAATGGAAATCCTAAGTTATACTGACTAATGCCCTTTCCTGACCAAACTACTGGGAAAGGGGAGGGGATTACTCATGGCGCTGGGGATGGAGTCGGCTGCTCTTGAAGTACTCGGGCTGTGTGGGGCAGGGTGGATGCCTCAGCAAGACTGAGGTGCTACCAGGAAGGAAGAGGTGGGAGTGGATCCTGGGTAGGTACTGTGTCCCCTCAACAGTCACCAACTAATAACTGGAAAAACTGGCACTCCAACCTAGCCCTCCTGAAACTAAATGTAGTACTTTTGTTTTAAGGTAATGTACTGTAACAAAAAGTTCATTTTACAGCAAGATTTTAGGGATTAATAAATTTTACCCGGAGAATATATTAGCAGTTTTATTCTGGTTGAAAGTTAAATTTGATTTATGTGTTTTATGTATTTTAATACAGTTCATAAATAAAGAGTTGTGGGGAGAATGCAAATTATACAGGTTTTTGTTTGTTGTTTGTTTCTTAAAGTTGTATTATATTCCTAGAGTCCTTCTGGTAGCATTATTCTAAGTCCCTTCTTAACATTATTTAAGAGAGTCTGCAAAATGTATTCCAGTAATTTTTGAAGTGATATTCCTGAATATTTCCTCACAGAGAAGAATTAATGTTTCCTGTGAGCTTCTACACTAAATCCTCCTAAGAAATTCCAGAGTTCAATGAATATCAGATTTATAATTAGCATCCTTAAGATACATATTATGCCAGTGTGGCATACATTGCAAGTGGCTTGCCCAATAGCCATTGTCCCTATTGTCTTTACTCACAGAATCCAATTCTATTCTGAGCATAGAGTCCCCAGTTAAAATATTGAATCTCAGCCTCTTTTGAAGTTGTGGGTACTATATAACATGGTTCTGGCCAATTCCCAATTCTATAAACAGTGGCTTGGTGTAGCTTCTGGGGACAAGCCCATTGCCCATCCCCTCTTCTTCCTGCCTGACTCATGGACATGGTGCTTGCCACTATGAAGATGAAAGAAACATCCTAAGGATGGAGAACCAGGGAGCTAGGAGGAACCAGGGCCCTTGATGACTTCCTTGAGCAGCTGCAGCAGACTGGACCGCCTACCTCTCAACTCTTCCTTGGGAAAAACAAATCCCTATTTGGTAAAGCCATTGTAGTTGGGTTTCTGTTTACATGCATCCAGATGCAATGCCTGACTGACACATTCAGCATTTCCTTTTTTTTTTTTTTTTTTGCATTCTTTAAAGCTTCAGTAGGGCCAAATAACAGGACCATCACTACACAAAAATCTTCCCCTGCCTAAACTACTGAATACAATTCATTCTTCTATGACATGTGTTTCTGTGGCAATAATTAGCTCATATGTAATTGGCATATAGGGGAATGAGGACAGCGTTACATGGAAGTCTCATCGTATGCTATTTTTCATAGCACATTAATATTTTGAGGCAACATATGAAGATCTTAAGGGAAAACTGAAAATCCTACAGAAATGCCTGCCTTTAGTGCAAGTATTGGCAATTTAGTGACTTCAAGAACCACCAACTTGAGCCAGCCCTGATAGCCTAGCAGTTAAAATTTGGGGCGCTCCGCTTTGGTGGCCCAGGGTTCAGTTCCTGGGTGTGGAACCACACCACTTGTCTGTCAGTAGCCATGCTGTGGTGGCAGCTCACGTAGAAGAATCAGAAGAACTTACAACTATACACAACTATGTACTGGGGCTTTGCCAGGGGCGGCTTGGGGTCCGGGGAGGTAAGGAAGGAAAAAGGAGGAAGGTGTTAGCTTAGGGTGAATCTTCCCCTGCCAAAAAAAAAAAGAACGACGGATCTTTCCACAATGTTAAGCTATCCAGCAAGAGGCAACTGAAGGGCAGCTGAAGAAGCTGGGCATCCATATGATTCATTTAACTCCAGAAGACTTTTTTCCTCCAGTGAAGATGATCTCTAACTCCGTCGTGTATCTACATCTCAAGGAGGCAGTGTGAGCCCTAGGATCGGTGCTGCAAAAGCTGACAGGCGATGAAGGTGGGTGCAGATGCACGTGCAGATTGAATGTGCTAATATTTTTATCAGAATTATTATTGTTTTTATTAGTTTTCTGGTTACAATATTGCATAGAATTTAAGCAGTTTGCACCAGGTCTATTTTCCCCGTAAGTCCAGTTGATTTTAGGGCATGATTTTGTAAAATTCAATTTTTAAAAAAGGAATGCATATATCCACTAAAGCAGAAATATCTGATTCTTAGAAACAGATATTAACCCTTGCCAGGACTGCGATTAGTAGCCTGGGTAGATCAAAAAATCGTCTCATTAGAACTTAACAAGATGCACCGAGTAATGGAAATACTATGACACGAATGGCCTAGCCACAGAGAAAAGTCTTGTGCATAGTAGAGTTATCTATATAAAGAAAGTCATTTTCACACCTTTGCAAGTAACTATATGTTCTATTTACAATGAATTCTGGAAACAAATTACCCCATAGAGCAAGTCTTTTCTGGTTCCCGTCTCACTATATAGTCTCTAAACAAAGCAACCAAGCATGGGCTGAGCAGAGTCTTTCATGCACCTTTAATGTGTCATGATGAACAGCAATACTACTCATTGAAAGACAATACCACCAACAGTCTTTGTAAGTCCAAGCTCCACTTCCACTAGAAGAGACAACCTAACACCATCCATCCATAAAACCAAACAATACACTAAAAAATAAGAACCTGGAAGGAGAAAAGGGTGAGGAGAAAGGTAGATATGTGAAACCTCCCTTTTTCTTTTAACTAGATCAAGTTCAGAAAATTTGTGATCACTTATAAATTTCTTGTAGAGAACTAGATATAATTTTTCCTGTCCTATTTCAGCCAAGTCCTAACCAGAAAGTTCCCTTATGATCTAGCTTCTGCCCTGCCCACGCCCACCTCTCTGATCTAGTTTCCCATAGTTCCACTGCTCCACATTCCACTCCAAAGCCACACTGGCCTTTTTGCCATTCCTCCTATTCCTCCAATACACCAAGCCCTGTGCCACTACAGGTCCTTTGCATATGCCTTTCCCTCTGCCTAGAACACTCTTTCCCCAGATAGTCACCAGACTTACTCTTTCACCTCATTCAGGCCTCTGTTCAAATGTCACCTCCTCAGAGAAGCTATTCCTAACCCGCATATCTAAAATGGAACCACCTTGCATTCCCAGTCTCTCTCTACCCCCTTACTCTGCTTTTCCCATATAGCATTCATCATTACTAGACATAGTGT